AGCTGAGTTAATTTTGTTATAAATATGAGAGTTTAAATGAATAAATGGTCTCTGACTAAAGATCTCACAGTTAATTACTGCGGAATCACAGTATAGCTCCAAAATAGAAAGCAGAGGATCAGCATGTGACTTCACTCTGCCGTCCCAGCAAGGCTTTCATTAGCAGCAAACAGCAGCTGCAGATAAAAATAGAAGGTGATAAGCAACTAGGTTCTTTAGTTAAACACAGAATTCACTCTCCATGACAGCAAGGAGCCCAGAGCAACAATGAAGTCTCTCCGGTTCATTAGTGCTGAAGCATTTGTGTCAAATGCAGAGTTTGCCAGGAAGAGTCTCGGCAGTGTTGCCCATAATCTTTTTCCTCTTCTTTTTAAAGCCAGCTATTTACTGGAGCAAGGGGAAGTGATTCATGACTTGGTAGAGAACTGGCCACTTGTTGACTTTAACATGGGAAAACTTTTGGGAACTACTGTGGACTACCAGGAAGACCTGAGCCATAGAACATGCTCAGTGTGCTTGGAAAGCTGTCTGACAGGGCTGAGAGACTACGTGCTGAATCACCCTTCTCCCTACATGAAAAGGTTGAAAGTGGTTGACCTGACGGGTATAAAAGATGTTGAAGTTCAGTTTTGTGAGTGTAAGAAGACAATGGGAAGGTGGGCCAGGACACAGCTGCTCTCTAAGCTTTGTTTAGAACTGCTGGTTTACCTGCAACAAACACAGTGCAGTCCAGGTACCTTTGAAATCAGTATTGATGTGCTAATTGACTTGTACGTTACAGAGCGGAACTATGAGCTGGTAGTGCAGGCCCTGCTGAAGAAATGTTATTGTCCACTGAAGATTTGCTGTGTGGCATTCAGATCTGACAACCTGGCTTTGCAGAAATTCTTCTATATCGTAAAGCTTGCTGATCCCTCTTTGTTGCGCAAACTGGAAATAGTTCACAATGTTCGCTTGGAAATGGAACACTTGGAAATACTCTTCAGCAGTATCCACTTCCCTCTGTTGATGTCCTTGACCTTGCCAGCACGAACATTTAATGTGCGGAGGTTCACAGCTACAGATGAACAAATGCTTACTAACATTGGAGAAAAGATGAGTGAAATGACGCAGCTGACCGAACTCAGTGTATCATTTTCTATACTCACAGGAAGAATACAGAAACTGCTCAGGTAATTTGTCATCCTGCTTTCAGTCAAACTGTGAAGAACAGCCCTTTGTGCCATCAGCAAGCTGAGAATCTCTGAGAATAAGGGAAGTGAGTATATCTGGGGGGGGGAGGGGGTGAGAAGGGGCAGCAAGAAGCTAGGAAAGAGTATTTGCCATGGAGAATTTGAAGCCAATATATATCGAATACACTTAGGAGAACTGGTTTTTCTTATTAGTCCTCCAGAGCCCATCTGATGAGTATGATGAGAATGTACTTCTGGTACCACATAAGAGAGGGATATACCCAGACATTTTTTTATTTACTACATTCTTGAGCTTGTAACTCAATCAATTTGGGCTGGTTTTGGTGTAAGACCTGAGTCATATTTCAAGTATTTTTCAAGGTGTCTAGTGAATGTTTGTCCTCCAAAAAACAGGCAATAAATATACTAAGATTCCACAGATACTGTATTTTTAGGTGGGCAGGGGGATAGTGGACTTTGATTTGAGACATTGATTTCAGGTTTTTGTTGTGTCTGTAGATCTCAAGGCAAGAGAGATCTGATGCTTTTCTGTACTGTGAATTAAGCTAATAGATGACTATTCATTATGAATTCCTGGATAATCAAAAAGATAACAAGCTGCCAGTGAACAGCGTTCATATCTGAACAGAAAATAAGTTAACTATGTGCTTTTCAGAGCATCTAAAAAAATAAGCCAACAAAAGTTTCATCGAAGCAAATCACCTTGGTCTAAAATTCCTCCTGTACAAAGAAGTCATTTAACTTAAAAGTTGTGAATGGCACACTGCTTATATTGATAGAAATAAATTACAAGTTTCTAACCTTGATCCAGCTGAGGTCTGTGGCAGAAGTCTCACTAAGATTTAGCATGTATGAAAGGGATCTCTTGATTTTCATGTGTCAGAACTATTTTATATTTAACTAGAATATTTGCACATAATTCAGGTACACTTCTTTCAACCTTCTTCTCCATCAGAAGGTCTCTTTGTAACTCCAGAACAATACAACATGTAAACCTTTTGGGCATTTAAAAACATAGTAGAAACAAAACTAGAAACAAAGGCAGATGGCTTGTTAGAATACTGATTGGCTTTCATCTTGGAATGAACCTTCCTTAATGGAAATGATCTCAATCTGGAATTATGACAGTTTTCTACAAGAAGCAGCCACCAATGCTTTTATAGTAGTAATGATCTACTATTAATTCAGCAAGTAATAGACACCTGACAATATATAAATGGTTAAAAAATAGACATATAGAATATTATCAAATTAATCCCCATTAAAACAACACAGTTGGAGTCATTTAGTCAAATTAGGAGCTAATTCATGGAACTGATTTCAGGAGGAAAATATGCTTGTCGTTGTTGGCACATGCTTCTGTTTCTCAAAAGAGGTTAGAAAAAATAATGAACATGGCAAATGGCTGCATTCATAATGTGGATAGTTGTATGAAATTTTGTAAATTTAGCTTTTCAATGCTTTATGCCATAAATTTTTTTTTCTCTTTAATTCTGCAGCCCACTAAAAACTCCGCTGAAGATGCTGGATGTTTCTAACTGCTCATTGAACCACGCTGATATGGCCTATTTAGCCAATAGCTTCCATGCTAATCACTTAGAAGCCCTGGACCTGAGTGGTCACAATATACCTGACCTTTATCCATCAATATTCTTTAAGCTTCTTAGTCATTCCTCTTCAGTGCTCAGGAGTCTTACCTTGGAGGACTGTAACATCCAAGACACTCATGTAAACATGTTGATTTTAGCTTTAAGCCCTTGTCAGAAACTACAGGAGTTTAAGTTTATTGGAAACCCACTGTCATCCCAAGCACTTAAACACCTTTTCACATTTCTCTGTGAGTTGCCAATGCTGAAAAATGTGGAGTTCCCAGTTCCAAGGGACTGCTACCCTATTGGCATCACCTACCCAATAGATGATGCCAGTCTCTGCAGATTTGATCACCAAAAATATGAAAGTGTAGCAGAGGAGCTTAACCTCATTTTACTCCAAGCAAATAGGGAGGATGTGAAGGCTTCAACTCCACTCTTTGGCAGTTATGATGCAGCTGTGCAGGAGACAAACAATGAACTGGGAGCTTATTTGATCAAATCCTTCAAGGAGACTTTAGAAAAGTTCACTACTTCTCTTAACAAAATGAGTTAAAGGTGTAACATAGTGGTGATGAGATGCTCTGTCAAATCAAAAGTTAATTTAGTCTTTTCTAGAACTGCACCTTCATTGGTCAGTTTTCTTTATTTTTTTGGCTGAATTTACTTCTGTTTGAATAGCCTCTGATCATCTGAGGTATTTTAACTATGCCATATCTATTGCATATACCTTAAGTAAGAACTACTTGCTCTCAGAAGAGAGGAGGGCTCTTAATAGCTTATTATTTTACACAAAAGCACTTTGTTTCTCAGTAAAACAATAGGTATCTAAGCATGGACGATTTCTTACACAGTTGCCCCTGGATTTGGCAGTGAGGCCTGTAGCTCTACAGAAAAGACAGGAAAGTCCTTTCCGAAGTCCAGCAGGGTTTCCCAAAGATTGTGCAGCTATCCTCAGCTATGGTTCCCTAAAACAATTTTTGTTTTTGCCCTTGGACTTCTGAATTCACCAGTCTGTGTTTTATCCAGTACATTCCCAATAGTGGGGGATGTATAGCAGTGTCCATGTCCCTGTGCCTCTCTTTATTCTGCAGAGGCAAGCATAATAAACTTTCTTTTGCATGGGGAATATCAGAGTTTGTCTAATACATTGTGCTGATAAGAAGCAAAGTTCCGTACTGAGGAGGTGGCAAACCAAATGGTTGGCTGACAGCGGGGGATTTCCCCCCACTTCCCCCAGCAATATAAAGCAGCCTGTGAGGACTCTGCCGAAGCTCTTGCGAAGTGTATTTTACAAAGGCGAACCAGGACAGTGCTGCACAGCCAGGCTTGTGGTGTCAGCAGGTAAGTGCCTCAAGCTGCTCCCTTTGTTGAATCATCTTCTTGGCTGGTAGAATACACCCTGCTGCTTTTAGCTCTTCTAAAGAAAATATAGGACAGTGATAATAATGCAAAAAAAAGACTAGTGTCAAAAACACATGTAGAAAAATTAATCCAATGCCAATTTCAAAAATGTGGAAAAGGGACAAGGTGGGTTGCTGAGTAGCTAGAAGTTCATCTGCATAAAATACTGTCCTCTTCTGCCAGGACTGTGTATTGTTCTGCTACAGAATTGCCACCAGTGCATGGAAGTATCACATTTATTTGGCAAACTCCAGTGCAAGAAATGTATTTGAACGACCAAGTAAACAGAATCCCAGACCTCCAGATACACTTTGTTGGAACATGGGTAAAGTGGCCAACAGGGTGTCAGGATGCAGCAGGAGGGCCACAAAACAAATCCGGGGAGAGTATTATAATGGGGAGGAATCCCTGGGTAACAGGCAAGTGTCATAGTCTACTCAGCTTCTCACCTGTAATACTGCGGACAGAACAAAGAGAAAGATATTAGCAAATCTTACCTATTGTCAGCCAATTTGAGACCTTTGCTGACAGTCTCTGTCAATGCTACCAGAGCCTAAACTGCTTTGATGTAAAGTAGAGACTCGGTTAAGCTTCTAGGTGAGTTGGGGGAAAGAAAAAAAAAAAAGTGAGTTGCTCAGGTTAATGTCCAGAATTCTGCCATTAAATATACTTCAACAGTTCATGAAAACTTGATTAAACAGTACTGAAATTGAATGTTGTAGCAGGAGTTGAGGTATCATCATAGTATTAAAGATCATTATTAAGATAACAAAAGCAGCTTATTTTAGATAATACTGAATCTCATCATCTGAGGGTAAGGAAGAAACTTTCTTCATTTAAGAAGATGGTTTGTGAAGCTTTCTGTTTATCCACAAGAATATGCAAGCAGCTATTAACCTAGTTTAAAAAAAAAATAAATTAATGGACTGAGTAAGTAAGTAAGTAAGTAAGCAGAGATAACAGGTTCCACAGGATGCATTTAAATGATTTTTTTATGTCTTCTTCACTTATGTTCTTCCTTCTAACATGTTTTATTGATTAAACATATGATGGTAAAATTGGAAGTGAATGGACATGACCTCTTTATGTTTACAGAACGCTAAAAAAAAAAAAAAATCTAAGTTGCCAAGCCAAGTAGCTGTGATTTAGAAAATGCCAGAATTGGGTTCTATACTGCTTATATTTGGACAGAGTTCCACGTGCTCCCTTGTCCTTGCCTCTACTCTTTACCTCTCCTTCCCTCTGACCTTGCTGTTCTTTCCATCCTAGACTTGACCCATGACTTCGCAGCCAGACATAAGTGGTTTGAATTTTGCTAGGCCAAGGACCTACTCCTTTGGGATGAGCAATGGCACTTACTGTTGCTGGGAGAGGATATTCTGTGTACAGTAGCTGCAAATCTATGTGTCGTGATTCCTCCACCCTGGCAGCAGGGCCAGTTGACATGTTGTATCTGGAGGTGAAGGTTGGCCATTTTGGACACATGTTGTGCTACAACAGCCAGTCCCTGCCTGTTTCAGTACACATAAAACAGATAGCTTGTGCATAGATCAGCTCTTATTTCAGAATATTTAGATGCCTTATGAAGACTGCTGCCTATGCAGTGCTCTCTCTGCTTTCTCCTTGCATAAAGCCAGTCCTGGGCCACCCCTTTGTTCTGCTTCCTCCTTTTTCTGCTTCCCACAAACTCCTGCCTATCTTCCATTTTCAGTCTTCCATACATATGCTGTCTATTTACAACTCTCTGGGCCAGGAGGAATATGTAGAGGCCATAGTTTTAGTTTTAGTGCCCAGTGAGGACCAGCATTATGTCCATTTCAAATATTCCCTTTAAGCCTGGAGTACGGAGTGCATTGCATTATAGAAGTGGTGCGCACGCATCACTTCATGCAGAATACCTGTGAATGACTGACAAATGTCTGGAGCACCTGGATCCACATGCAGAAAGGATTTGTACCCTGCTCCTGGGAAGCCAACTGCTCTGTAGAAGCACACAGATGTTTTAAAAATATTGTGATCTTCTGAAATGCATTTTGATAGGATTGAAGAAAAAGTTTTATAGTTTACAGTTGCATGTTAAAATTTTATTGCATGAAATACAGTATTAACTAAAATGCATAACAGGTATATCGGTACTTTGAATAGTATTGAATCCAAAAGGTTGAACTACAATAAAACACTGCTAGTATACGACAGTAGTATTTTACTGACACCAAAACTATATATATACCTCAGAACTTGTTAGGAGAAAATGTCATATTTTGGGGGAGGAGGGATTTGCACACATTTGGAATGGAATCAGGTATTTAAATCACACAATTTCCAACTTTAGAGCCAACTTGTTCCAGGTTCTAAAGAACTCAAGCCAGCTGCATGCAATTACCTTTACTGTGGTGACAGGTGCTCCTTTGTGGAAATCCTGTCCTTAGCTCTCAGATATCCTACTTTTGTCTCTTGAGTTTCTTTCATAATTACGGTTATTATTGTTGGTTTTAAATACAAGCCAAGCTGTAACATTTTGGTGTTTCCCTGGCTTACTACAACAAGGATGTGTGCCATCTCACAGAATCACAGAATCATTAATGTTGGAAAAGACGTTCAAGATCATGAAGTCCAACCATTAACCCAAGACCACCATGTCCACTAAACCATGTCCCAAAGTGCCACATCCACACTTTTTTGAACAATTCCAATGATGGTGACTCCACCACCTCACTGGACAGCCTGTTCCAATGTTTGACCACTCTCTCAGTAAAGAAACTTTTCCTAATATCAAGTCTAAACCTCCCCTGGTCAACTTGAGGCCATTTCCTCTCATGCTATCACTAATTACTTAGGAGAAGAGACCAACAAACACCCTCATCACCACAACCCCCTTTCAGGTAGTTGTAGAGAGCGATAAGGTCTCCCCTCAGCCTCCCCTTCTCCAGACTGAACAACCCCAGTTCCCTCAGCCGCTCCTCATAAGACTTGTGCTCCAGACCCCTCACCAGCTTTGTTGCACTTCTCTGGACACGCTTGAGCACCTCAACGTCCTTCTCTCGGAAGAATTCTTGCATCTCTTCTGCCCCAGCAGTGCGGTTTCGGCCTGCTCCCTCTTCCTTTTTCCATGTGTGTGGGACTTGGCATTCTGCTATTAGGGAAGATGGACTAATGCTACAACTACCTAAGCATATAAAGTTACCTTATACATTGCAAGTGCAGTCAGATATTGATTTAATCCTACTTTGTGTTCCCTGTCTTTCTGATGTGTATCAAGCTGGAGCTGTTCAGTTGATAGTGCCAGCTATGGCTATTTAAAATGATGGACCAGAACTCAAAATGGTATAAGATTTTAAAGTAAATTTAACTTCAATTTATGTTTCATTTTCATTCTGTTGCTTACAGTTTTATGTTGTAAGAAATTTTTTAGAATTATCATTAAACACAAAGTACAGTAAAGAAAGAGGATAAATTCCTTTTGTTGTTTTTGCAAATGTTAAAATTCTCACTTGTTTTCAAAAGTTGGGCTATCTTAGGAAACAAGATAATACAATGCAGGACAAAAAATGGACCAGTTGACAATACTGCCTCACTAACATTCCAGTACTATCTATGCTCAGTGATACCTTTTCTAAGATTTCTGAAGTGGTAGTTACCCATCAGTTTCAAATGCTTGTAGACAAATACCAATAAACACTAAGAAGGGAGAGAGAAAATTCACAAGTCTGCCCTCTGACCTGCTTCCATAGTGTGGTGGAAACTATGAAGGGCTTCTAAGATGAGCATGGTCTTCTATTAGATAGTAGACCCAGAGGGTCTGAGACTGTTGGAAGAGTGACAGACTACTGCCTTTCAGAGAAAGTCTTCCTCAGTCTCACATGTCTGCAAAGGTGTGTATTGCAGTCAGGTTGAGGACACTTACCAGTTCGGTGTCCTCTAAGGCTTGCTCCTGCCATGTGTTGTCTGTTCAGACCATTTGTCTTGCTGACTGTGTCCTAGAAGCCTCTGTGTCCTGAAGCTTCTTCTCTGACCTTGGCATAGTTAATCTTACTGCTCACCCTGGTTTTAGCATTTAGGCAAACCAGGCACAGAAAAAAAAGGGTCTTAGCAGTCAGACATTTGTCCCTTTAAACGTTTGAGTTCTATACCCCTCTACCATCATTCTTTCAT